CGATTAGCAATGGATTATAAATATACTTAATTATTATGAAAATACCAGATGGCTTGAATAGCACAGATACACTATATTGTCGCAGTCGAGTGTTTATCGTCTTTGTTTTATCATTCAAAACATTTATATGTTCTGTTTACTCCATTACAGCTATAATAACAATGTCTTTGTCCATATAAGGGATTTCCTGGAGGGTCATGAGTTCTCTACTTCTGTGACTGGATATGTGGATTTTCTGTGCGAGGGCGCCCTCTGGCGTCCAGTATGAATGAAACAGACATCATGTGTTTATAGTGCTAATGACCAATCCGTCATTTTTTGGGGGATTTTTATTTATTTATTTATTTTTAATAAGTACCGGTTCAGGCACCGTTTAGGCCCCGGAACCGTTTTAAAAGTATCGATTTGGCACCGGTATCGAAAAAAACCCAAACGATACCCAACCCTACTCGGAGGCTGCAGTCTGCTGGAGGATTCGGCGTTGCACACACAGGAGGAGGACAGGGTTAGGAAAGTCTGTGAGCTGTGTTTAGTTGTTGATGTGCAGCCAAATCATAGTGATATCCGCAAACTCAACATAGCACATGATCGCTGACCATTTCATCCAGAGCCTGCGCTGCTAAATGTTGGCAATGATGACCGTCTTTCGAATGTGTGACCGCACACCTCTGCCAGGTGTGGAGCTCCACCGACATCTCTGGGTTTGGTAGGATGAAGAATGCAGGCCACGCTGATGTTATTGTGATGTGCAGCGGATCTAGTGAAGTCTGCAGCGTTACGTGATCGACTAGAGTCTGTGTGGGGCGTCACCAGCTCTACAGCATCTACACGCTGTTTGTGTTGTTCATGAGGCCTGTTTTCCAGTCTGTTCTAGTGTTAAAGACGGCAAGTCTCATGAGATGTTTAAAGTTATTAGCCAACATCATTATGAAAACTAGCCTACTCTTTACTTTGCCAATTCATGTCTTGTTGTAAATGCTTTATCAGTGCATGCTTTATATTACAAAAAAAAAAAAAACAGTTGATAAAATTATATTTAATCAAATTTGTCTTTCTTAAACTGGTGTTCCTTAAATTCTGAAGCGCTCATATGAGCATGTGTGAGGTCTAGTCTTTCACGTGCCCCTCACTGAGCCTCGCGGATTCATGACGAGCTGTTGAAAAGCTCAAACAAAGCCGTGTTTTCATCCATGTCCGTGCCGCTGCTACATGTCCCTCACTAATGCACACTTTCTGTTCAGTCTGACTGAATAATCAGCTAATGTGTGCTGTGGATTCAGATCCTGCTTCAGCAGGAACCCATAAAAAGAGCAAATGACTTGGAAAAATAGGTAGTTGCCAATTAACTTTCCTAACTTGGGTTGACATGTCTATGAGAGAGCATGGAGAGAGATGCGAGAGACGTGTGAAGCAGCGCCGGTCTGTTGTCATCATGGTCATTATACAGTAATGTATGATCACTCAATGCAGTGAGGAGCAGAAATGAACCAGAAAACACTGAACGTGTGTGTGTGTGCAGCTCTTTGTTTGACGCACAGTGTTTGGTCGTTTGCACCTCTCAGAAGGCACTTCTCATTGCAGTTTAAAGTCTGGCTTGTTTCATTATTCCAAGTGCAAAAGTTAGCACTATTTATTTTTTTTAAATCACAGGTATTTTAACAGCGAACAACTATTTTTTTAAATATCACCCGATTCATCTGCTGGTATATTGTTTGCCACTCTTCCTTCCCATATTCACTGCTGGGAATAGAAACAGGAGACATGGAATTAGGGAAGTTATAAAGAACAAAATGAATAAAATGTTTTAATTAGGCCTAATTGCTGTTAAATTTAACAAGTTTCATTATTAATTAGACATGCTTTTGGATTACCAAAATTATTTTTACAGATTAAAACAGATAAAATAAAAAAATGCAATCAAAGACCAATTAAAACAGGGAATAAAATAATGCTTCATACTGAAATGATCTGGACTGAAATTCTTGCTGTTCATCCTGTTGATTCTGCTGTGAATTAGGTCACTTTATTTGCTGTCTTTATTAGTCATAGAATAGTGTTTGTTTGAATAGGTTTTAATAACCACTAATCACAATGTGTGGTAACGAATCCTTTCGTTATTAGATCCCCACCTTCAGCAGGGTTATTCATCACTGGTTAAAGGTTGTGGCTTTTTTGATGGAGGGGAAAATATTAGTAAAGTGCTGCCAAGTTATTAGGCGTGTAATACAGTATTGACCCGAATATAAGACGATGTTTTTTTTCTTGGAAATACATCTGAAAAAACGCGGTCGTCTTATATTCAGGGTCTAGACTT